ATCTTTTTCCTCTGCCTCTACCTCAGTTTATCAAGTGCTGAATTCATGGACTGTGTCAGTAGTTTGCTGCGTAGTTTGAACCAGATAGGACAGAAACATGAAATGGTTTTGCTTCAAGCAGTTGGTTTATTCATCTTTTTATTCATCTTTCTTACTGGCATCCTCAGTATATTCCATTCCTTTCTGGTCTCTGTGACACGAAAAAAGTTAAGTTTAGTTCAGCTTAAAATTTCAATCTCATATTCAGTTTAATGTTGTTTCCAGTTTAAGCCCAAGTGAACTGCCCTGGCAGGGAAGAATGATCAGTTTCAAGCATCTTCCCTTACCCAACCTGGGTGACATTATTCTACATTGGCCTGAGAAGTAGGAATGAAGGAAAGTGAGCAAATGTCTCCTCTTAAGTAGCATTTTATGGTATTCATGTATTATATGTAATAAGGGCACAAACATTTGCTTTCTTTGGGGTGCAAGTGTGGGCTCTTAAGAGTTCTTACAGAAGCTCTTCTGTTTTCCCATTTTTTTTTAACAAGAAAAACATGCTCTGTAATGTCTTCAAGTGTCTTTATCCTGGAGTATTCTTGCTCCATATGCACTGCTCCTGTTAGACAGCTCAAACATAGCTGCCTCCTTCAGTGTCCAGTTGACCTATGGAAATGTTTTTGCCACACCAAGCATTGGGAAGTACAAGATGCCTCTTCTCTTTACTATGCCATCATTTCAGATCCTTTTTTAAGCCCTCAGTAGTCATAGAAAGCAAATAAAGCATTCAGCTGCATAAGCAGAGTCCAAGTTGGTTAATTAGAAGTCATCCTATCTACTTTGTACTCCCAGACTCTATAAATGATGGTCTTGGAGTGCCCCTCATTTGCTTGGGGCAGAAGGGTTGAAGTACCACTGTTTATACCTCCTTGGGGAGTGAACAGAAAAAACCATCACACTGTCTCCCTGTGCCACGGATTCACTGTGACTGTGATTCTCTCCTAAATTTTCAGAGAGGTTTAGAATAAGTGAGACTGGTGGAGTAATGATGGAAAGGCCAGTTTTCTACCTCTTTTGTAAACCCTTTTGAGATAAGTCTTATTTCCATCTCTTAGAATGAGAGAAACTTAGTACTTATTGTTTACAGTTGAAGACTATAGCGACAATTCTAAAGTAACAGAGTCCAACGTGTTCGTGACCATAATAGTAGAGCTTCAGAATAGCTCATAAATTAGACAGGAGGAAGCAGCTAATCAAAAGTGTTCTCAAACCCAGCAACGTAATTCAGTCAAAGTGAGTATTTTTTTTTTAATTGAAGTATAGTTGATTTACAGTGTTGTGTTAGTTTCTGCTGTACAGCAAAGTGATTCAGTTATACATATATATACATATATTCTTTTTCATATTCTTTTCCATTATGGTTTATCACAAGATATTGAATATAGTTCCCTGTGCTATACAGTAGGACCTTGTTGTTTATCTATTTTACATATAGTAGTTCATATCTGCTAATCCCAAGCTCCTAATTTATCCCTTCCCCACCCCTTTTCCCCTTTGGTTACCAAAAGTTTGTTTTCTATGTCTGTGATTCTGTTTCTGTCTCATAAATAAGTTCATCTGTGTCATATTTAGATTCCACATATAAGTGATATCATATGATATTTGTCTTTCTCTTTCTGGTTTACTTCACTGAGTATGGTAATCTCTGGGTACATCCATGTTGCTGTAAATGGCACAAATTGAGTATTCTTATTACTTGGTACTTGAACAAATTACAACCTCTTCTTGGATGACAAAGAAAAACTGAAAGGAAATAGTTGCATTAAGTGCCTGGCCCATTGAACTTCAAATTCCAGATAATAGAACTTCTGGATCAGGACAGTCTGTGCAGTGCAGTGTGGCTGTAAATAATGCAGATTAGTGGCCTCTCTTGGGTCTCCATGTTAGTTCCTGAAGAGCCAGGGGAGTTGGATTTGGTTTTAGCACATCTCTTATAGGACTTCCACCCCCAGCCACTGTCCATGAGAAAATAGTTAATCCTTATGGTTTTACCTTGGGCAAGGTAGCAGCATTCAAAGTGGCAATTAATGCTGTCCCCCAAGCAGAAATTTCAAGGATGTATAGTTGTTTTCCTTTATATGCATCAGAATTTGGGACATAGCATTTTTTTGCTTTTGTTTTTGTTTTTTTAGTTCATCTACTACAAAAATCACTCAAAGAAATGAGGTTTAATTTTAACATTGGCTAAAATGTTTCACTGCTTAGGGAAAAGAAAACAGAACAATGCTGGAGATCAAAACATTTGACATATCCAGCTCTCGTTGACACGTACTTATAAACAAAAAGATAAGTAAAATAAATAAGTGTATCATTTACTAAAAGATGATCATAAACCATATTATGATATTTTTGTAAAATCAGTCATCTGACATCTGTTCTTCTTTCTTTATTTCCTAGAAATATTAATAACATTTTTAAAACTCCTAGGTAATTTTTCTCAACTAAGAGCCTGAAGTTTTCTTCGTAAATTGAAATAGAACAGGCAAGAATCTATAATTTTTGAGAAAATCCCCAGTCCAGACTTTGGAGAAGTCAAATGTCTCTCAAAATCCCAGCCCACTAAAAAGAATCCCTTTTTTGCCTTAGGGCCAAGGGTCAATTTTTCAGTGTTAGGCCTGAATGTATTGAGTAGTTTGAAAAGAAAACCTGAGAGCACCCTGATGCCTGGCACATAGTTAGGCATTTGGAAATTACAATATGGTGTGATACATACTGAGACAGAAATAAAAGGGCAAGAAAGAACATCGGGTTTCAGGGACAGCCGCCTGGAGAGGGAGATGTCCACATTTCCAAGGTAAGACTCAAAGGATAAATGTAAATTAGCTAATAAAAGGAAGTTGGGCATGGGATTGTTCTAGGAAAAGGGAACAGCATGTTTAACACCAAGTGTAAAGAGGAACATAATGTATGCTGGGAAATGAAAAATAAAATTCTCTGTAGCGCCAGCAAGTAGTAGAAGATACCACAGGGACTGTGAAAGGACTTAGAGCCATATTGAGTATGGCTTTTATCCTAAGGAAAATAAGGAATCACTAGAAGATTAAAGCAGATAATTATTGTTATTTTAGGAAGAACATACTGTAGCTTCTTTGTAGATGAGTAGTGGCAGGGCAGGATTCCAGCCAAGAGTCCTGTACCATGTTTGAGGCAAGAGATGCTAATGGCCTCAAGTAGAGTAATGGTGGTGGTGGGGAGAGGGAGAAAAGGATGGAATCAAGAAATATTAGGAGGTAGAAGAAAGGATTGGTGATCGATGGACTCACTAATTGCACTAATTGCAAAATGGTGAAGGATATGGTAGAAGAGTAGGAAATATCCAAAATTATGGCGAGTAAAGGCCATAATTGTAAATCACTGAGATAGGGAAAAAGATACAGAGAAAGAGAAAAAGCAAGTTGGGGAGGTGGGACAGTGGGTCCATATTTGGTTCTGTTGTTGTTTTTTTTTTTTTTTTTTTTTTTTTTTTTTTTTTGCGTTATACGGGCCTCTCACTGCTGTGGCCTCTCCCGTTGCAAAGCACAGGCTC